CCCCCACAAATTCGCACACTCCTGCATCCGCTGTAGAGAGAGAGAGAGAGAGGAAGAGGAAGAGGAAGAGAAAGAGAAAGAGAGAGAGAGATACTGTATACCAGGATCGAGAACTGCGCGGGGGTCGCATATGCCAGACCCCGCTAAGACCAAGAAACATGCCACTGACGGTTTTGGTAGCCTGTGTGTCTGGAGGGGCACGGCCCAGCTAAGGATGGAAATTGTTACGAAAATGTCTGACGCGCGCGTCTTGCCCCACGGCCGCGTCTCCGTCGTCGGTCTCGGTATAGCGAGGCGCGCAGTTGGTGCAGGCATGCTCGATTAATTCGAACTTGCCTAATTCCTGCTCCATGTGCCAGACGTTGGCCGCGCGCGCTGATGTCGCCGACGCGCTTGGCAGTGAATGGGCTAGTGGCGGCCTCGAACTCCTGGTCGCAGGACGTCGGCCAAAGGCAGATCCTTTCATGAGCCTTTGTTAACGCACGAGAAAAGCCGCCCGATGCGTCGATGGGGCCAGTGCCCGGCTTCAGCCACTGAAGACTGCGCCGCAATTCGTCGTAGTTCGCGAAACGTAAGCTGCGAGCGAAACACTGAGGCACTACCTGAAGACAATGTGAAGCAGACCGCAGGTTCCTGCTCTCCAATGGCTTCGACCAGTCCTCAGCAGGCAACCCCCTTGAGAAAAGCTTTGTCGACATCCAAGCTGGCCGGAGTCAAATCGCAGCGGCGCGCAGCACCGCTGGCCAAAACGCCGGGGGGCGCGTCGGGCGGCTGAGGTCGTACGTCGCGCTCCCGCATTCGATGCTCGCAAGTGGGGATGGTGCCGCTGCCGGAAAGAGTTGACGCCGTCTCAGTTGCGGTCGAAGTTCCTCGAGCGCTGGTAGGCCGGTAGGTTGCCGAGGTAGGGATTGCCCAGGTTGCGGTCGAGGCAGTAGGGAAATTATTCGCGTGAGCGGTCGGGTGTCCCCGCACGTTCCAGGCCCGAGGCGGTGCCGGTGGAGGGGCAGCGGTAGCGTAGTAGGTCGTGATGGTCATCGTGCTCTGCTCCTCGAGGTTGCCCGCGTTTCTATGAGCGCGTCGACAGAAATCGGTGTATGTCTTTACCAGGCCGAGGGCGGAAGTGAGCAGAGCTGCCGCAAGTGCGACAGCTCCGCTACCAAGTAGAAAATCAGGTTGGAATCCCCTTGAATAGCTGAAGATAATCAAACTGTGAAGGATACGATGTGTGGATGGCGATGGAACAAAAGAAATGCCCCTTTCCTGCCCAGGCCGTGCGCCGAGAAGGCGGCGCAGGCAAATAGGGCCGCGCCGCCTTGAGGTCATGCGAGTGTGGGTAATGCAAGCCTCTATCGAACGCCCAGCATCGCACCTTCAAACTGCACGGCGTGCCAGATTCAAGAATTGTTGAAATTGTCTCCTCTACGTTCCCAATGAAGTCTCGGTCCAACCCGCCGGCTGCGCGGAAAGACCCGTTCCCGGTAAGGTCTCGGCCTATACCTCCGGCTGCGTGGAAAAACCCGCCAATTTCGTGTCCCGTCGGTCTTCCAGCGCAAAACGGTTCCAAGACGGCATCCGAAACGGAAAAAAGGACTCCAAGACGGCCAAAACGCCCCCAAGAGAGCCCAAGAAGGTCCCAAGATGCACCCAAAACGGCCCAAGATGCACCCACGACGGCCCAATATGGCCTCAAGATGGCCCAAGACGGTCAACAAAAAACACCAGAGTGTACTCCAAGACAGCCCAAAAAACCTCCGAGAGGTTCTCCAGGAAAGCCCAAAGAAGGCCGAAATCACTGATGTTCTTTAGACATATTCAGGATTTACGCATTTGCTTCCTTTTCGGCCTTCTGACGATCCGGGACGGCCCCCCAGAGATCGCCCCCAGAGCGCCAGAGAGGCTACCCAGGTGGCCCCATGGCTGCCCAAGAGGCCCCCAATACGGCCCCAAGAAAGCCCCAACACGGCCCAAGACGCCTCCAAGACGACCGAGATGGCCTTCAAGACGGCACTGAAGCGTTCCCAGAAGGTCTCCTAGACGGCCCGGAGTGGCTCCCCAGACGGCTTCCGACGGTGCCAGACGGGCCAGGGAGGCCCTGAGATGGCGAAAGCACCTGGAGGCCTGCAAGAGGCCCCTCAGAGGCTCCCAAGGGGGTCCCAGAGAGCCCTCAGGAAGTCCCAACACGGCCTCGACATGACTCTTCGTCCTCCTCCCCCGTCTCTTCCTCCTGTCTTTTTCTCTCCCGAGTGCTCCCCCAAAGCTGGTGGAACACATGGTCCAATAGCTTGGCCAGACTTTAGCCCAACATTTGGCCGCACGGGCGATTCAAAAAGGCAGGGGGCGGCGGTGGTTCGCCGTAGGCACCTTCGATCTGATTACGGTGGTGCCCGTTGGCAACGCATGCTCGTGCATGGTGTCTTCGAGCGGACTAGTCCCCGACTTGCCCCAACACCGAGAGAGCAAAGCAAAACGTTGAAAGTCTGGGCTTGTGTCTCTAGTAGCTGGGATGCGATGCGACGTGTTCGCTGCTAGCCCAGTTGCTGAATTGTAGAGAGTATGTTGCTTGCTTCTCATCTCTGTACTGAGTCCCCCTTCGCTGATGAAGAAAGCCATGTCCCGTCGTCTCAAGCATGAATGTTATGTGCGAAATTGCACAGCACACGCCATATAGCTCGTTGCACTGAGCGCCAAAGTCAATCATGTAAAATAGCTTGCACGGGTGATGGAACAGAACCAGGTGATGACGAGATGGATCAATGCGAGCACGATCGAGACTTCGAGACACCAAAATGGCCACAAATTGTTGGATGGGGGAGAGGGGGGCACATGGGGCGGCGGCTGCACCTACTCCAAAAATTGTCTCTGACGACATCAGATTGCATCCACCATGCCCCAAGAGGGGCCCGAGATGAGGAACCCGAACTGACACCCAAGAAGGCCCCGACAACCGCCAGCAGGCCCCAAGGAAAACCCCAGCAGGGGCTGAGAAACCCCAGGAGGCCCAAAGATGCCACCCAAACAGGCCCCAATAGGCACCACAATGACCCAACAGGGCTCTCTTTGAGTACGGCGTGGGGCTTCCCAAATGAATGCATGGCGCCAGCACGCTTCTATGGCAACACCCACTGGAAGAGTAACATCCAGAGCTCCCAAAGGAGTCGGCGCTTGCGGCGTTAGCCAGTTCGTTGTTGATTGCTTTGTTGTTGTTGCTTTTGTTGTTGTTAGCCTGAGCCTCTTTCGGCCCCAATAGACGTTCCAGAACAGCCGCAAGAGGGACACCAGGAGGCGTTCAAGAAACCACCGCTCATGGCAAGCGACTGCAACGCTCCCTAGAGGCCCCTCAGGGGAGCCCACATCCCAAAGAAACTCCCTAAACTACACTGAACTGTCTACCGCAAAGCGGCCGGAGGCCAAGAGGCTGGCGAGGGGCCCGTACAAAGGGTGCTACGTTACTGTCGTCGTCATGGCATGGATATCTCTCTTCATGACCTTACCATGTCTGGTAACAGTCGAGCTTTTCAAACCCAATGAAGCAACTCTGTTTTACACTGGACCATACCATACCAAACCAGACAACACAACCCGACCAAACCAAACAAACCCACTCCCCAACAGACAAGGCAGAAATATGCATTGCCAGACATGTCCGCAACTCTGCCCCCCGCCAACATAACCATGTGTTGCTTAGCTCCGCTATAATCTGCTTGGCTAGGACACTCCGCCCTCAACTGCGGACACAAGGGTGTGGGCGAGAAGGCATCACTGAGGATATCCAGGAAAGCGGGTTAGGAATCTGACGGAGGAAGGGCACAAGACGTAGGAGAATGAAGGCATCGATGACGAGAAACGGAGGCCGATGATGAATACGAACATAATGAATGCATAAGAACGACCCGTACATACGTAGATTGCCGACATTGCGCGCCAATATGTCCGTAACTAGATCGGACCAAATATTGCATCAAACGCAAGTGATACTACAATATCGGGGAAATTGTATTGCGCAAGACCATGCCAGATTGAACCGCACGTGGCCCGACAAGACTAGATCACTGCACGCTAAGTGGGATGCGCAGAAAATGAGACACTGATCGCTGGATGGGCAGGTGGTGAGACGCGAAACGTTTAGAATACTCACCACAAACGACATTGCCCCCAACCGCGCCGTGCCGTCGAGTGGCGATGCGGAAACCAAAAGAAGAAATTCAATCCAAAATCCGAATCCGGAATCCAAAATTCCGGATTCCGGATTCCGTGCTCCAATTCCAAATTTCGTGTTCGGATTCCCGATCGGACCTCCCGGCTGGAGAGTCCGACCTGCCTTGACAATCTAGAGAGATTGCTGTATAACGTTCGCTTGTGCATCAAGAGTGTCCAAAAAAGCCCACGAGGCCTCGAAGACAGTCCCAAGCGGCTCCAAGAGACAGCCACAAAGGGGCCCATATTTCTCCAAGACGCCTCCAAGACGCCCCCCCAAAGAGGGCCTACGGGGCCTGTTGTCCACAACACAGGCACAATGGCAGGATGGGCCGACTGCGGGAGACAATTCTGAGTCTTCTGCAGAGGCGAGGGGGCACCCGAACAAAAAGCTGCCCTGGATTCCTATGAGATATCGAAACTTGGTGAGACACTGTGAAATGCAGAAGGAGCAAGCATGCAATTTGGATGAATACTAAAGCATACGCTGCACGATTAAGTGATGGCGATGCGTGCAAAATGGTCGAGAACTGTGATTTCCGCTATACCAACTCAAAGGATCGCGTGACAACTTTCGCGAAATGGGCAATGTTCAAGCGTGCGGCTCCTCCTGGGCATGGTCCACATTGAAAACTCGGGCCGTCCTGACTCGTACAGTAGCCGCCATGAGCAACCCCCGAATGCGCTATGAATTCAGCTGCACAGTGGAACAAAGAACAAGGGAAAGAGAGAGGCAGAGACAAAGACAGAGACAAAAACAGAAAGAAACACAGAAATAGAAAGAGAGAGAGAGAGAGAGATGTAACCTGAGAGGCGATCCCGACCGGGTAATGCTGCATATAGCCACTGGACTGAGACTCCGCGCCTGCAACCCCTGTCACAACCCGTGATAATTTCAGCATATGCGAAGCTCGATCACTGAGTCCACATCATTGTGCAATGATGTCGAAAGCACTTGACGCCCAGACATCTACATACACATCTACAGATTAATCTGTACATATGCAAACATACATGGTATTCTGGCACAGCACGTGACCGAATCATACTACGCCAGGCGGCCAGACTGTGAACAAGAAGCGTAGAATTAAATCCACTGGCCCACCTGTGCCCTCTAGGGCATGGCGTGGGGGCCGTAGCCCCAGAAATGCCAAGCGTGGGCAAACTCACGTGAAAGCCACCACTTCCCAGCGGCTGATAACCATCGCAAGTCGTTCGTGCTGTAGTGTTCGAGCTGTCATGGCTTGGTCGCTGGCCGGATGTGATCCCGCCTGGCGTTGGCGTCGCAAAAATGCCCGTCCAAATTGTGTGAGAATTTCCAGACGTCGTTGTCCCGTCTTTTTGATTGCCCTCCTCGTCGCCGGCGTCCTTGCTGTAGAGTGGTAAGAGTCGGGCTCCAGTTGGGCACTCTCTGTCCAGCGTGTCGGGGGGTGGTTGGCCACATGGTTCGCCCATCGCCGAACTCTTCTGTTTCGTGTATGCGATACACCAAGCGTATGATGCCGAAGTACCAATGTTTCTGTCGTCCGCATGCTCCCGAGGATCGAGCTGGACCATACCTCGGCGCCTTTATTCTGCATGGTGCCTGCTTGCGTGTCTTTCTGGTCGCTAGCGGGGTCCTGCACATTGGGTTGGTGAACCGGTGGGTTGCTACAAACGTCGGATTCGCTGGAGTCGTTGGGGCGAACGTTGCTGGTGTCGTGGTTGTTGCTGTGGTCTGTTTCTGGATCATTTCGCGGCATTGGCGTCGCTAGCGCGCGCCTCCGTGGCTTTCCGATGACCATTCTGACTATCTGTCAATGCGTTCGACGTAAAGTGCTGTTTGTGAGGTTCCGTTACAGTCCACGCTTCTGCTCCGTGCGTCATTGTTGGTACATTCGTATACCTGGAATCGGTGTCTCAATACATAATTGTTGCTGGTGAGTTCTTGCCTGTGCCCGGTGAAATATGCCCATGCTGATTATATACGATGCTCCCAAATACGTGACGGTGCTTGATGGTGGTCCTATGTCGATGTCCATTGCTGTCACTTTGGCCACCCGGTCGCGGCGCCGAGGCTGGTAGAACATGATTATGGTTACGGTCGGGTGCAATTCTAGTCCTTGCGGTTTCGCTGCAGAGAGAGAACATTGCTTTTAGATTGGGCAGCGTTTGGCTTGGCGGCAACATGGTGTCCGCGAAACGTAGGTTAGCGGGTGTCAAAACGCCAGTGTGAACTAATCGAACGACCCATCCGAACGCCTTGGTGCCGCATCTTCACTTCTGAAGCCAGCCAGGACGGAGCCTGGCCTGGTCGTCGGGTTGCTGTCGGTCTAGAGTCGATCGCAGTCAGTTATAGAGTAATCGGCCGCAGAGATTGCATAGCATTGGTATTGTGCAGATCGGCCTCAATTATGTGGAAGCGTGGTGTCTCCTGACTTGGGGATTCCTGTCATGCTGGATTTCCTCCAGCTGGTGGGCGTGGGGGCGTCTACCAGTTTGATGGTGTTGCGCAGTTGGAATAAACAACCTTAGCACGCCAGGCCTGGTTCTTGAAGCATCCCACATCGAATTCGGTTGTGCATGCTGCTTTGCCGATTTCGAGCTGCGAGATTCCAGCGGTGAGCTCCGCAATCCAACGCCCACTTGGGGGCCAAAACTCTGCGATGCAGGAGTGTTCCAGCCACCTGCAAGAGTTCCAGCGCAAAGGTTGCCAATGCCGCTGTTATACCTAGATTTGCTATAATTCCAATGCTGGACATTGTTGAAGAAAGCGCGGGGACCCCGGCACTCCCTCCCCTCCGCCCCATTGCCCTCCCAGAAACGCGCTGCCAGACCTTACCCAGCAAGTACTGCACGTTCGCTTGGACCCTCCCGTGAATTACAACGCGGTTGCGCCTTCAAGGCCCCATTCCGATAAAAATTGCAACCCGCGCGCGCTTCCGAAGCCGCAATCCCTCATACATTAAAATTGACGCGCGCTTGCGTGACGACCCGTTTGAAATTGCGACGCACGCGCGCTCCCGCATACAACCAACTGCCAACCACTGTCTAACCAAAAGCACAATCAGCCGAACTGCAAGCCAGCTCAACGTAGCCACGTACGCATAAGGAGGTTCCCGCCTGCGGGTTGGGCCGTGTGCCTGGCAGGATCCGCCAGGGCCTGGCCAAAACGTCCTGGAGATCCCTCCAAAGGGCCGCCAGTATGGGTGCCCTATGGAGGGACCCGAATCGAATATTCGGAGTCGAAATCCGAGGCGGCCCTGGAGGGCCCCCAACCGACCCCAGAAGGAGTCTCAAGACGGTTCCAGATTGCTCCAAGACAACCCACGTTGGTTCGAAGACGCTCTGACATGCCCTCGGGACGTCCAAAGAGGGTTCCGAGAGGACTCGCACGAAGGCCCTGAGGGCAAAACTGCTGCTCGCCCTTTCGAACTTCCGACGCCCCAAGACGGCCCAGTTCCCCGACGGAAGTGCGGTCCTGTCATCGGTAATCCTGGTCACTGGGCGCGCGCCTGAGTCACAGTTACGAAGGGATTGGGCTCCAGAACTGGTCTGCTACTATAGAGGGGCCAGCAGGGCCAGATGGCAACGGTTGGCGCGCATATCCAACACATTTGTGCATGCGCGGTCTGTCGAAAACGGGCGGCAACAACGCGACGCAGAGGAGTTTCGTGAACTCGAGCGTTCGGCCTGGGCGCACGCCGCGCGCGACGCCCCTGATTGTGTTCTTCTGCAGCCGCCACTTCTTTTCTAGGGCGCCACGGGCGTGCGAAACACCGCCCAGGTGAGCGTTAGCTGGCGCCCGCCCCGCCCTCATGCGCAATTCCCCCCATGCCGCCCTCGTCTCCTTCGCTCCAACTCCCTCGCGCCCGTCCGATTCCCCCCCCTCATCATGCTCTCTTCCTCCTCTGCATGTTCGTTCCCCCCCTTGCCACTGTGCAGCGTTCCTCCAAATCCCCCGCCCGGCGCCCCCCCCCCTCGCCCGCGCACCCGCCCCCCCCCCCCCCGCGGCCGCGTGCGATTCATCCCCCCTCCTTCTGCCCCCCCCCTTTCCTCCGCCTCGCGATGCTGGCGCCAGCGCTGCAGCTCCTCCCGGGCTCACGCCCCCCCGTTTCCCCACCCCTCGCCATGCGCCCCCCAGCCCCGTCACCGCCGCCCCTCTCATGGCGCGTCGCCCCCAGACCCCCGCGCCGTCTGCCTTCCCAAACCGCGGCCCCGTCCGCGGCCGGCCGGGCAATCCGCGGAAACTCCAGCCCAGTGACAACTCAAGCGAGTCGCGCGCAGCTGCGCAGTTGGACGCGCGAAACGGTGGGAGTCAGATCTTCTAGCGATGGTGACGCGCAAGCTGCCTGTTACTTTATCTACCCATCCCCCCCTCAATTGCCTATCCGCCCGCTGCGACCCGAAAGTCCGCCGCCGGTTGCCGGTGTTCCGCCAATGTGTAAGCTACCTCCCGGGGTACTGCGGCGACCCGACCTGCGGCGGGATCTCTGACATCTCGCGCATACCCGGCAGGTCCCGGCACCAGCCTGGAAGGGGCAGAGACGACGTTCGATCTGCGCTGCTCGCAGACCTTCCCACGCACGCGTTGGCGTCGAAGTCCGCCCAACCGATCGTTCGCGACGGCCCCGGGAATCCCCGGGGCCCGATCGTGAAGAGACTGGAACTCCCTGCGGACAAGGCGCGCGAGCATGGCAAGCGCGCGCCGTCGCCGCGGGCGCGAGGGTTGCAATCGCTCCGTGGTAGCCGCGTTTCCGGCCAACGTAGCCCGTGAAAAATCAATCGCGGCAGACGTCTCGCCCTCGCTGTCGTCGGCGATCCGCCCACGATGGTTCTTCAAGAAGTCTTGGCTGGTTCGACGTGGAATTCGTTTGAGTTCCGCTAGTTTGCCAAGGGATGACGCGCCCGCTTTTCCCAGGCACGGCGCAAGCCGAGAAATCAAGTTGCCCCAGAAAGCCGGGTCGCCGAGGTTCCAGGGCGGAAAAAAAGCCCCCGCGCGCCACCCGAATGTGAGGCCGGACAATGCCAAAGGGATATCTAAGGTGCAACACAAATAACTGACAATGAACAAACCACTTGGGTGGACGTCGGAACGCACCCGGGCCGGCCAGGACAACGCCGACGAGCTCGAAGTCGAAGTTGCCCCGCCCCCGCCCCAGCTCGCCTTTTACTTTCCGCGCGAGCTGCTCACTCTGCGGCAACGTTGCGGTCTGCACTCCGCCACCCGTTTCTCTGTAGTGGCCTCGCGTGCAAAATGCAAAATCCCAGCCCCCGCCCAGACGACAATCAGCTCCAACGCGCGCGCGCCCGCGCACGCGCTGCCATCAAATCTGCAGCGCGGCATTGCAGGGGTCGGAATGCGACGCGAAAGCACTGAGCGCGCCACGAAAATCGCGAAGGTCCAGAGCAGCAGCCCGGCCGGCATCCAATGCCCCCCATAATCGCCGCTCAAATTCGCCTGCGAACATTCTTTTTTCAACGGAAGATCCACTCCTCCTGATCGTGCGTCAGCGAAGACCTGAAGTAGCTGTCGCTCCAAATGCGGCCCCGGGGCGTCGCTTTTCTCTCCGCTGTCTCTGGTCTCTACGGCGCCGACAAAAGCGCGCCGTTCCAACGGCCAACGCAGAAATGCCGCTTGCACACGGCGACCTTGCAGTCCAAACGACGCTAGAGAATTTGTCGGGCAACGGCGCGCTCATGGCGCGCATCGCCGGCGCGGGCCCAGACGAACTGGGCCGGGAAGAATCGGGCGAGGAACTCCATGGAGCACCCGGCGGAAAAAGAAGATCGGGACTCGAATGCTGCAGAGCGAGATCGCAGGAAGCGCGGCCTGCCCTGCTGGAACGGCATTTTCCCTCCAAGGTTCCCAGCCGATCCCCGCTC